TAATGACTAGTGAAATAAGTCAAGCAGAGAAAGTAAATTATCATATGGTTTCACTTGTGGAACATAAGGAATAACATGGAGGACATTAGGAGAAGGAAGGGAAAAGTGAAGGGGGGGGGGAATCAGAGGGGGAGATGAACGGTGAAAGATTGTGGACTCCAAGAAACAAACTGATGTTTTTAGAGGGGAAGGAGGTGGGGGGTAAGAGTTAGCCTGGTGATGGGTATTAAGAGGGCACATATTGCATAGAGGACTGGGTGTTATAGGCAAACAAGATTCATGGAACACTACTTCAAAAACTAATGATTTACTGTATGGTGACTAACATAACATAATTTAAAAAAAGAAAGAAGAAATGCATGAAATAATCTTGATAAAGCTATTCAGACATTTGCTGAAAAAAATAATAAAATACTCTGAGGTAGTTGGTAGAAATTTTTCTAAAAATTTCCTTAATGTTATTGCAATTTTGTCTTTTCTGTAATGAAATTTCTAAAAATAAGAAGACAACCCCAGTCCATGTCAGAGAGGCCCTGAGATGGCCTTGGCTCTGGGGAGTAGGAAAGCCGCTGTTCTGGGTGAGGGGATGGTTGCTGAGGAGAACTACACTATCACCCATCACTGGGAGGAGCTCCAAGGGCTAGGAAGGGATGCCACTTCTGCGTGATTTTTTTTCTTCTCTTTCTTTCTTTTTTTAAAACTTATTTTCTTTAAATTCAATTAATTAACATGTAGTTTATCATTAGTTGCAGATGTAGAGTTCAGTTTTTCATCATTTGCATACATTTTGTCTCCTAGAGTTGAGTCTCTTATAGTTTGTTTCCCTCCCTGATTTCACCTTATTTTTTTTCCTCCTTTCTCCTATGATCCTCTGTTTTGTGTAGCAGCTATGTCTACAACAGCTGAGCTCTGGAAAGAGCCCAGATGTCTATCAATAAATGAATGGGTAAAGAAGATGTGGTATAGAAGATGGAGTTCTTGCAGGTCCTGAAATGCAGGCTGTAGGAGTTCAGCAGCCACAGTGGCCTCCGAGGCTGTCCAGCAGTTTTTTTAAGGGCAAATGATATGAGGGTTGGTACGTTAGTGGGGGAAGACAAATATGGAAACAAATACTATGAAGACAACAAGCAGGTTTTTTGGCTGTCACTGATGGGTTATATGTACTACTGAAATGATGGAAGCATTGCACCCCCTGAATGGCATCACTGGCTTCACTCTATGACCGATGGTCCTCCAACAAAACCACCTACTTATTGCTCGCAAATTCATCTGGACAAACCATAAGTTCAAAGTGGGTGGCACTCCAAAACAATATGTACCTTATTTTACCGCTAGAAAGAAGATTCAAGAGTGGATCCCACTTTCAACACCTTACAAGTAAAGACAATGAAAAATAATTTAAACTTGTGAAATATGGGGCTTTTCATGCAATTGCACTTTAATTGCTTACTATTAACTTGATTAAAACTGTTTGATTTGGGGGGTAAATACCCAGTAGTGCAATTTGTAGCTCTATTTTTAAATTCTTAAAGTACCTCCACACTGCTTTCCAAAGTGGCTGCACCAATTTGCATTTACCCCAAAGATACAGATGTAGTGAAAAGAAGGGACATCTGTACCCCAGTGTTCATAGCAGCAATGGCCACAGTCGCCAAACTCTGAAAAGATGCCCTTCAAAAGAGGAACGGATAAAGAAGATATGGCCCACATATACAATGGAATATTATGCCTCCATCAGAAAGGATGAATATCCAACTTTTGTATCAACATGGATGCGACTGGAGGAGATTATGCTGAGTGAAATAAATCAAGCAGAGAGAGTCAATTATCATATGGTTTCACTTGTTTGTGGAGCATGAGGAATAAATGGAGAACACTGGGAGAAGGAGAGGAGAAGGGTGTTGGGGGAAATCAGAGAAGGAGATAAAGTATGAGAGACTGTGGACTCTGAGAAACAAACTGAGGGTTTTGGAGGGGAGGGGTTGAAGGAGAGACGTGAGCCTGGTGGTGGGTATTAAGGAGAGCATGTATTGCACGGAGCACTGGTGTGATGTATAAACGAATCTTGGAACACTGAAAAAATAAAATCAAATTAAAAAATAAATAAAGCTATTTGATTTTTTAAAATAATGTATTTGGGGTTTTTTTGGGGAAAAATTTTATTTATTTATTTCACAGAGAGATCACAAGTAGGCAGACAGGCAGGCAGAGAGAGAGAGAGGGAAGCAGGCTCCCCGCTGAGCAGAGATCCCAATGCGGGGCTCGATCCTAAGACCCTGAGATCATGACCTAGGCTGAAGGCAGAGGTTTAATCCACTGAGCCACCCAGGGGCCCCAAAACTGTTTGATTTTTTAAAAAGAAGATGTGGTATATATATATACAATGGAATATTACTCAACCATAAAAAGTATGAAATCTTACCATTTACAATGATGTGGATGGAACTGGAGGGTATTATGCTAAGCCAGATAAGTCAATCAGAGAAAGACAATTTTCATATGATCTCACTCATACCTGTGTGACTTTCAATTCAAGGGAGAGAAGCATTCCTCCTGTTTGTCCAGTCCCATGGGGCCAGTGTTCAAGGCAGAAAAGCCACCCAGAAGTAAAGAGGGTACATTTGGTAGGAGGATCCCTTGTTCAGCCCTTCTCCAGCACCATCCCCAGAGTGGCACCCAGGGGTGCACAGGAAGTCAAGGATCCAATATGTTCAGCCCACTAATTTCCCATAAGAACCACATCTTCTGTTCTTGCCCCACCATCTAAGTCATTTCTTTATGGTCATCCTAGCCGGGCAGGCACATGGTAAGCACCCAGTTAATGCAAAGAGCTCACATGGATGAGAAATGTGGGGATAGAGGGAAGTGAGTGGGTAGGGAGGCACAAAGAAAACACTTGGCCACAATTCCCAAGTTTCTGCCAGGGGGTAAGAAGGGGGTGCACCACTCTGGATAAAACGTCAACCATTCTGGCAAATGAAGTTGGTTTCTAATTTCGCAAAGACTTTGGAGGGTGTGAGACATTTTAGGTTAAAAACTTAGCAGCATGATGTCTATGGCAGATGAAATCTGAGAAACAGAGTGGACTTTTGGGATTAGTTGGGGCAGTTTGTGTCATGGCTAGCAAATGAATTTCCAGCAAAATAGATTGCGGATATCCCTAAGTAGATAGCCCTCCATCCTATGCCTAAGAAACTTTCCAAACCTCCAATTATGTACCTAGATGGTTAGAAAAATTGAAGGTTCTTCTCTCTTTAGGAAAAACTTAGACCTAAGCATTGGGTCAAATGGTTCTTTCTTTTTTTTTATTCTCTAGTTTTTTTCTTTTTAAATTCAATTAGTCAGCATATAGTACATCATTAGATTTTGATGCTGTGTTCAACTATTTATTAGTGCAAATTAAAAGATAAAGATGCAATGTATTTTTTCAAATACATGAGAAATTTCTGTTAAAAGGAAGTTTATTTTAAAAAATTGTTAGAAAATGGGCAAAAGGAATTTTACTCTGATAATAGAAATGTCATAGCATTTTATTTATTTTTTAAGATTTTATTTATTTATTTGACAAACAGAGATCACAAGTAGGCAGAGAAGCAGGCAGAGGGGGAGAGAGGAGGAAGCAGACTCGCCGCTGAGCAAAAAGCCTGATGCGGGGCTCGATCCCAGGACCCTGAGATCATGACCTGAGCTGAAGGCAGAGGCTTTAACCCACTGAGCCACCCAGGCGCCCTGTCATAGCATTTTAGAGACCTGAGTCAGACCCATTTACTTCACACAATAAGAAACACTGAGGACACAGGTTGTATAGCTGTGGAGGCAGTCAACATAAAATGATGTCCTGACTATGTCTCCTGTCCTTTACTTATCATCATATTTTCATCTTGCCATTTTTTCCCTCCAGTTCTTCATAGGTAGACATTTGCAAAGAAGCACACTAAGCAAAGAGGCAAACATCGCATTTACCCGGGGAATAACTCAATTGATCTACAAGTTATTGGGGCCTTGTTTAAAAGGAATCATCCAGGTGCCCCAGTGGCTCAGTGAGTTAAGTGTTTTCCTTTGGCTCAGGTCATGATACTAGAGTAGAGGGATCAAGCTCCACATCAGGCTTCCTGCTCCCTGCTTCTCCTTCTCCTTCTTCCCTTCCCACTGATCATTCTTTCTCTCTGTCTGAAATAAATAAATAAAGTCTTTTTTTAAAAAAGGAGTCATTCAGTTAAGCATTTGTCTTCAGCTTGGGTCATGATCCCAGAGTCCTGGGATCGAGCCCTGCTTTGGGCTTCCAGCTCAGTAAGGAGACTGCTTCTAAGGAGTCATTCTTCCACCAACAAGGTAATCTTTAGTAATGGTACACGGTAGAAGAAAATCATCATCCTCTCTCTTTCTTTCTCTCAACTTATAACTGCTTTGGTAGTTTATAAGTCAGTCTAAAACTGTTTTGTGGAAACCTCCTTCAGAGTCCAAATTCATCTTTATTATAAGTGTAGCCTAGCTCTCAAGATGGAGTCAGGCTAGTGGACGGTTCAGAGCTAAATGGAGAGGGTCTGCTGCCCATAAAACAAACAAAAAAAATATGCAACACTTCTTCTATGGAATCACCTCATGCATGTTATCTCCTTTAATCCTCACAACCAAGTTGTAAGTTTATCCACACTTGACAGTTTCCTGAGACTTAGAAAGACTCAGTAACTCCCAGGATGACCCAGGTCACCAGCAGGGAGCCAGAATGAAAACTGGGGTTTATATGAACCAAAGCCCATGTCTCTGGCTACCACAGTTGGAATCAGAGTCCATCCAATCCAAGGCCAGGCAGAGGAAACGGTGAAGAGGAGTGCTGTCCTATATCAGGAGAATAATCTAAGGAAGTCTCCATATAGCCCCCTCACTTCCCTTTTGAGCCCCTTTCCCCAGAGTTCCCACAGCTTTGTAGAAGGGCTGTGCAGACCAGCATGAGGAAGTGTGTGGTGGCTTATCCACATGAGGCAGAAGGGGGAACTTACACCACTGTCCGGATCCCCGTGGCTGTAAATGTCTGGCCTTTCAGTTGGACAATGGGATCCACCAGGCTCTGAGGGCTCAAGCTGCTCTGGAATTGGGTAAAGGTGAAGTGGATCTTCATGTGGTTGGAGTACTGTATCAGGGAAAACTGCAAAGGAGAAGAGGAATGCCCTGGGCTCAGGAGTTATTCTTTAATAAACTTTTGATTTTGGAGTAACTTTGGATTTACAAACAACTTTCCATGTGTCTTTGAGGCTAAAACCCTGGGGAAATGAGGCCCAAAAAGAAAACTAGAAAATCAAAACCAAATGATGCTTCTTTCAGAGTTTGCAAGGAATAACCTTTCCTACCTCAACATTTCTTAACTTGAATTTTTAAAAAATTTCATAACATGTGAAATCAACTTATAGACTACATTTCCTCACTTCTCAAGAATTTCTACATACATATGCACGAATTACTGGGAAATAATAAGATAAATCATGAGTTACATGGAAACATAATAAAGAAATCATTAATTATTTGGCCAAGTTACCTTCAGTCTAATTTCACAGCAAAACTATTTCTGCAATCCTTTCAATGCTTTTAAATAGAAAAAAAATATTTCCCAGGCCATGTGGGGACATATCAAATGCCATGGGGGAATTTCCTCAGGTCAGGACTCAAATCAGCCCTGTACTAGGACACTAGTCTCATCATGGCACAGGTCCCCTAAGCCAATCCCTAGCAATACCAGGCTTCCTACTAGGTTGGTCTTCCCAAGGCAGCTGCCAACCCCCTCACTTCCCAGATCTCGGAGACTCAGTCTTCACCAGGGTGTTGGTGCCTTCAAACTGTCCCATCACAGCTCTGACAAAGTCCTTCATCTGCTTAAAGTCACTTTGGACAATGCTGCCAGAACCATCAATCAGGAAGACAATGTCCATCTCTTGACTTGGACACTCTGTAGAGAAGAAGGAAGGAATCAGAGATGCCTGTGTGGGTCCCAGCCATCTCCTAGGGTCCAGAAACCCTTCCTGCACCACAGAGTTAAGGGGCCATTCTTGGCCTAGGAATCAATTCCCAGCCAGTTTCCCCACTTTCCATGGAGGAAGCCCAATCCATTGCCCAAAATGTAAGAAACAAATCAAAGGAGTGAAGAAAAAGAGAGAGAGAGACAGAGACAGAAAGAGAGAAAAAGAAGGGAACAGACTCTTAACGGAAGAGAACAAACTGATGGTTACCAGAGGAGAGGTGGTTGGGGGATGGGTTAAATAAGTGATGGAGCTTAAGGAGTGTACATGTTGTGATGAGCACCAGGTGATGTATGGAATTGTTGAATCACTATATTGTACACCTAAAACTAGTATAACACAGTATGGTAACTATACTGGAATTAAAATTAAAACTTAATTTAAAAAAAGAGTTCTAAACTAAAAAAAAAATCTGTTGCCCCATCACCCCTACCCCCACCTCACAGATTCCCTTGCTTCCCTTCTTCCATAAGTTCCAAGAAGGGGAGAAAGTAGTAAAGGACAGAGGCAAGATGGGTTCCTTATTCAACTACTCAACAAATAGTTATTGACTACACACTAGGAATGTCATAGAGCACGAGGGAAAGGCAATTTAGCAAAGTGATTCAAGTGTGCATTCTGAGCGTGCTGGGCTCAAATCCCAGCTCTGCCACCTACTAGTGAATTGAGGCAACTTATGTAACTCCACTAGGCTTCAGTTTTCCCATCTGTAAAATGGGGATAATAACAGTGCCTAACACATGGGGTAGGCTTAAAAGTGTTGATATGTACCTAAAATACTTAAGATAGGGCCTGGTCCCCCATAGCTGTTATGGAGGTTAGCTATTATGACCATCATCACCGTGTGCCAGGCATTGTTCCAAGCACAAGAACACACCTACAGCAGATGCTAAGGTTTGCCACCAAGAAGACACACCCCCTATTAGGACAGAGGCCCTTATTACTAGCTACAAGAAGTAGCTATTGATTGCTCCCAGATGATAACTCAGGAGATGCCTTTCCCAAGATTACAACTCCTGCTCCTGGGGATGACCTGCATCCAGCCATGTTCCAAGCTCCTCTGGGTTGGCTGAGGCCTCTGTTCTGATCCATCACAGTCCATCTTCTTCTTTTTTTTTTAATTTTTTTTAAAGATTTTATTTATTTATTTGACAGACAGAGATCACAAGTAGGCAGAGAGGCAGGCAGAGAGAGAGAGAGAGGAGGAAGCAGGCTCCTTGCAAAGCAGAGATCCCGATGTGGGGCTCGATCCCAGGACCCTGGGATCATGACCTGAGCCGAAGGCAGAGGCTTTAACCCACTGAGCCACCCAGGCGCCCCACAGTCCATCTTCTTTCACTGCCCAGCCCTGCTTCCTTCACACTCTCAGAACTATTGTCCCCAAGAATATTCCCAAATGAGCCTCAGAGTAGAAGGAAACCTGGTCTAAGACCACAGCTGGAAAAAAGATATCACCCCTGCCCTCATGGAGTCCACCATAATGGAAAATCACACCTTACACTCACAAACAAGTAAGACATTGACCCCAAACTCACATAAGTATTTGTGGCCTGTGTGAAGGACACAGTTGGTACCTCCACCAGTGCCCCACATCCTGTGTTGTGCCCATGGTTGCGGTGATCAGCCACCACAGATAGTAATGAGGCATGATGCTGAACTGTGGCAGCTGGCTTCCTGCCACGAAAACAAAAATACTTTCTCCTTGCACCCCATACCTCCCCCATCCCACCTATGCACCCAGCTGGTGCTTTACCCCTGAGGAGAAGAAATGGAAGGCCACTTCCCTCCCTGCCTTCTTGACTAGGAAATTCAGCTCCCCACATGGCAGGCCAAGAAGCCCTCACTGCCCCCTTCCTCACTCAATATCCCCCATAGCTTGATAGAAGAAGGCCCCATCCCCACATCTTGTACTTGTTCTCACTTTGTTAGCTGCACCACAAAACCACCCCTCATATCCTCTCTCAGGCCATCATGGTGACAAGTTGCCTCACAATATCACTTCTGTTTCTTGTTCCTTTTAGTATCTCCACTGGGCTTCCAATAGCAGGCATCAAGCTATAACTGAGCACCTTCTGAAAAAAAGACCAAGTCAATCAGGCAAGGTTGGCTCCAGGTCTCAGCTCTGTCACTTCCTAACAGCAGGAACTCAACTTTCTGAGCTTCAGTTTTCTTGCTTGTAAGACGGGATGACCCTGCCTTACCACCCAGGATCTTGTGGGGTGCAATAAAGATACATACTAGGCATCTGGCATTGTCTGGCACCCAGTCACTTCTACCTCTACTCAAACTTGATTTTCCTATACTAGGCTTACAGGCTTGTGTTCCATTTTCATTTTTTTAAGATTTTATTTATTCATTTGACAAACAGAGATCAAAAGTAGGCAGAGAGGCAGGCAGAGAGAGAGAGAGGGGAAAGCAGGCTCCTCACTGAGCAGAGAACCCGACGCGGGGCTCAATCCCAGGACCCTGAGATCATGACCTGAGCCAAAGGCAGAGGCTTAACCCACGGAGCCACCCAGGTGCCCCTTGTGTTCCATTTTCATCAGGCATCCCACTCATGAGTGATGGAGACATCTAGGAGAAGAGACTTACCTCCTAGGGTTTAAATGTCACCTCCCCTAATCCTGGTTGCACAGATATCCCAGACAAGTCATCGTATCCCCAAAGCTCTTGGACTCCCTCCTTAAACTCTCTCCGTCCCCTCTATAGACTCTATTTTCACAATTTGGGTGGGTGGTCTTTCTGCTGCAACATCACCTTTGCCTAAAGGCCCACTAAGCCTGACATCATGGTTTCTCTGGTCCAAAGCACTGCTCTCAGTCAGTGCTTTGAGTGGCCCCTGTCTCTGACTTGGAACCCATCATCTCTTCCTCCTAGTCCAAACATATGGTCCTGGGTAGAAGATCAGTCATCATAGCATTCACATATTATGTGTCACGCAAGGTCTAAACACTATATGTATTTAGACTACAGTCTTTATAATTTTTTATAAACAGACTTTATAATTTTTTAAGATTTTTTTTAATGACACACACACAGAGAGATGGAACACAAGCAGGGGAAGTGATAGAGGGAGAAGAAGGCTTCCTGCTGAGCAGGGACCCACTGCAGGACTAAATCTCAGGACCTGGGGATCATGACCTGAGCCAAAGGCAAATGCTTAACAACTGAGCCACCCAGGAGCCCTAAACACCTTGATTATTAAGACCCAGTTTACCAATGAAGAAATTAAACCCCAGGGGATGAAGCCCCAAATACACAGAAGACAAACTTCTTCAGACTGACTCTCAGAGAGATGCTGCGCAGTGTCTCTGGCACCATTCTATGCAGAAGGCATCAGTCCTGGCAAAATTGTGCATCACATTTTCCATGGCCCTACCATTTGCTCCCCTTAGAAGCTCAGCAATAAATGATCCAGAACAGCCTCCCTCTTGGATCCTATCCAAGGATCTATCATCCTCACCACATTTTCGCCATCCAGGGCCTTTTGTCTGAAAGCCCAGAAAGCATCCCTGCACCTGTTGACACCTGTGAGGACCTCGTGTCTCCTGCAGCCAGCTCTCTGAGGCTCCCTTCTGCCCCATCAGAACTTTCTCCCCTTGACCAGCTTAGACTTCCTTCTGTGAGCTTCCCTCCTTGCCTGGTCAGACCATTTTCCCAGACCTTCTTGGGCTTGCTGAGGCCTCTGGGAAGGGGCCATGGACACAGGAAGCCAAGACCAGAGTTATGTGCTCTGCCCACTCTTCAGTGCCAGCATGAACTCACATAGAATCACTGTCTCTGTAGGGACCTACCTGTCAGGGAAGTAGGCATGGTCCAAATGGTCTGCAGGTGGGAGCCCAACAGGAAGCAGAAGCCTTCTGCATACATATTCTCCCCACAGACTCTGTGCATGGTGGGGCCACAGGCCTAAGG